CATCATAATTACACACATACATGTGTTTGTGTTTGTGTTTTGTGTCTGAGTGCACAGACAAACTTTCGGTAGTGTAGGCAACATATTACCTGTCTAAGACTCTGAGCAGGTAATGACACTGAAATCAGCTGAAGCCTCATTGAGTGAAATCCACGCCATGCAGTTATTATCGTCGTCGTCATCAAACTCATCATCATCATCGGCATCATCATACTAATAATAATCATCATGTGGAACTCCTTGTTGTCGTGTCATCATCATCATCATCATCATCATCATCATCATCATCATCATCATCATCAGCAGCAGCAGCAGCAGCAGCAGCAGCAGCATTGCTGCCATTATCACCATTACCTGTGCACATCTGTGTGGGTAGGAGCGGGTGCATGCGCTCATGCGTGCCGTTAAATGTTATAACCACCGAAACTGCCATATTTCCCTGAATTTTTTTTTTATTTTTTTATTTTTTTTTGTCTGATACGTATGTGCTTTAGGGTATATCTCTATTCAGGTTTGCCGTATTTGCACCAGTAATGAAAAGTTGGCAAAACCGCTAGTGATGCATTGTTGAGATGCAGACCTGAGTTCGAATCCACACGAGCTAGATGGATCATACCAGTTCTTCCTGAATTACATGGGGCTGGTCAGTTTGATGATGATGATATCCCGAGGCCTTTTTTTTTTTATTGTTGTTGAAGTTGCAGATACATTGCTACATGCCCTTTTGTGTTAAAGGCGTTAGGGGAAAAAAAAAAAAAAAAAAAAGGGGTTGTGGGTTCTCTCCTGATAAGTGATGTGCATGCATGTGTGTGAAGTGTGCACGTGGGGGAAGGGATTGAGGAAGATTCTCAGAACTGAAGAGTCTTTGGGGGAAGATTCTCAGAAGTCTCGATGGTATCTTTGAATCTTTTGATTAAATGGGACTCGATCCAAAAAGTGATGACATTTTTTCCAAACCCTAATCATCGAATCGTGTGCCCCCTCTTGTATTTGTTTTATTTTGATGTGCCTTGGACAGGGCTGGCTATGGTATCCTGTCTTATCAGAGGTTGACTTTAGGCCTTGGGCTGGGTTTGGTTGGGGGACTATGTTGGGCTGGGTTGGATTAGCTGGCGTAGGGTTGGATTGGAACCGGGTTGCAATTGGATTGGATTGAGATTAGGGTTTTGCTGGATTAGATTGGATTGGATTGGCTGGATTGGTATAGAGATTGGATTGGCTGGGTTTGATTAGATGGGATTGGATCGGGTTGGACTGAATTGGATTGGATTGGACTGGATTGGACAGGATTGGATTGG